CCCTGTGGCTTTGAACGGAAGTTTTATTGTCATATATGGGAGTCAGTTTAGGAAAAGGATGATTTTCTGTTAAAGGAAAGAGATACTTCCTTTGGTGGAGAATTGTTCGTTGCAAGGCCTCCCAGGGATGGGTGCTGGAAGGGACTTAACACAGTTTTGTTTGCTTGTTTTTTGGGGGAGAGGGGCTGTACCCCTCTGAGCTCATGAATCATTCCTACTGGGTGGCGAACTAGGATGGGTAAGTGGTGCTGGGGATAAACCCAGGCTGACCACATCCAAGGTGAGTGCCCTATCCGCTGTACTATTTCTCTGACCCCTAGCTCAAATTTATTTTTCCCCTTTAAATTAAATATCTGGAAGAATAAGTATACTGTCAACAGGATTCTGGAACTGTGTGTTCTTTGCACTGGTTCCCAATTCATTGCTTACAGTAAGCATTTTGGTAGCCCATTTTGATGACATGTGAGCCGGTTCATCCACCCACGTGTCAGTGGTGTGTGTCCCCTGTGACCTGAGATGGCTACACACAAGCCCATCCACAATGTGGTTCTGCTTCACAAACGTGGGGTTCTGGGGCCTTTTCACTGACTCGTATTACTTTGGGATGTACCGCAAATGTGGAGATGTAAAGAGTGATCTCATTCTTTCCAGTCTTGGTGGTATTTCCCATGAAGAAACTGCAGAATTGTCCTGTTGTTAGTCATGTCCTTGATCACTGGGTTATAAGCGATATGCATCTCCGTACTCAGGAAGTTTCAGAGAGGTGGAGGGTACATGCAGCAGGATTCAGGACCTGGCAGTGCTGGGCACTACCTACCACAGCTTCATGGTGCTGGGGAAGAGACTCCACTAAGGACAAGAGACAGGCCGGACATGCGCCTGCCACTTTGAGTCCAGCCTGAAGATACAGGTTCTTGAGGGGGGTCTGTACCTGGAATGGGGACTGCTGGGCCACAGGAAATACACACGTCAGTTCACTGACAGATGCTGAGAAACGATCCACTAAAAACCATCAGTCCACTTTGAGAGCCCCATGGTGTCTGGCAGGGCCAACTTCCGGCCAACACATGAGTAGTTAATGTTTCCTATTGCTGTTGAACAACTCAAAATACTTTAAGATGGTTTTAAGGCAACATGAATCTTACTGTAGTAGAGGGGTGAGTCTAACATGTTCTCACAGGACTGAAATCTTAGTGGCTACAGGGTTCTGTTCCTTGAAGGGGCTCTGGGGTGGATGTGCTTCCTTGGGCCCCTCCGACTTCAGAGCCCATGGTTCCTTCAGCTTCTGGACACTTCCAGTCCGCAGTTGCATTTCCTGTTCCCATGACAGAGGGTCAGCAACTTCCATTCCTTCTGCACTGGCACATCCATAGTCTAGGGAGTAGAGAGAGGACACTTGCGCCCAGTGTTCTGCCCACAGCAGGAATTGCCACCTTTGAAATACAAGTGCAAATAGGTTGTCCTGTTCTTTGAGGCTGCATTTTCTTATCTATTGGAAAGGTTGAACATGTTTTGTTGTTGTTGTTGTTTTGTTTGTGGGTTTTGGGGTTTTTGTTTGTATGTGGTTTTGTTTTTGTTTGGGTCATACCTGGTGATTCTCAGGGCTTGCTCCTAGCTCTGCATTTAGGAATTACTCCTGGCAGTACTTGGAGACTGTATGAAATGCCGGAGATCTAACTCAGGTCGGCTGTGTGCAAGGCAAGTGCCCTACATACTGTACTATGGCTCCAAACTGAGCATCGTTTTTTTTTCTTTTAACCTTATCTTAGTTTTTTTATTATTATTATTTTTATTAGTGAGACACCATGAGGTACAGTTGTAGACTTACAAATTTTGTGCTTGGATTTCAGTTATACAATGATCAAATACCCATCCCTCCACCAGTGCCCATTTCCCACCACCACGAATCCCAGTATCCCTTCCACCCCCCGTCCCCCCTAGAGACAAAATAGTTCTGTTTCATAGTGTTTGGCTGGCACTCTCATCTCCTTTTCAATTAGGCTGCCTTCTTTTGATCTGTTTTGAGTTAAATTTATGAACCTTCTCATACCCACATTTGTGTCCAGTATATCAACAGATGGGCTCATTCAGAGCAGGGGCTCAGGCCTGCAGACCGCCCCCCTCTTGCTATGCTACTTTGAAAGAATTGTGGAGATGCTTCCGGCGGAGGCCCTTGAGGGGAGCCTGTGTCTGGAGGCTGTGCGGGCTTAGACAAGGAGCATCTCGGGGCTGACTTAAGCCTGTGCACTTCCCAAGTGGGGAGTCTCCACTCAGCCCCTTGCCTTGGAGCTCCTTCCGCCTGAGTTGGGTCACATGGGATACCAACAGTGGGGCAGGCAGGCATGGAGGGGCCTCTGGCACTGAGCCCTGTTTGAGAGGGAGGCCCTGCTCACTGAGCTGCCCCACCTTGCTGTTTGGATCAAAGAGGTGGGCAGCTCCCGGAGGAGCTGCTGGGCCTGGAGAGGCCCCTGGGGAGACATGGGGAAGGGGATGTTCATTCAGGTATTGGGGATGGAGTGATAGGAAAGAGGGTAGGGTGTTTGCCTTGCACGCGGCTGACCCAGGTTCGATTCTTCTGTCCCTCTTAGAGAGCCCGGCAAGCTACCAAGAATATCCTGCCTGCATGGCAGAGCCTGGCAAGCTCCCCGTGGCGTATTCAATATGCCAAACACAGTAAGAAATCTCACAATGAAGACGTTACTGGTGCCTGCTCAAACAAATCAATGAACAATGGGAGGACAGTGCTACAGTGCTACTGTGCATGACTTAGGGCCATGTGCTGTCCTTGACACTTTTTGAGGATTTCGAATGAAGATTTTATTAGTTTTATGATTATTATGAGAGCCAGTCCTGGTGTCTTCTGGAGACCTGAGGTGAACTCAGTGCCTGCCCCAGCAGGTGACTTGTATGGCATGTCCTTAAATATTGTCCTTTTGTTCAATGACATTTTGTTGTAACACTGATGAGGAATATATATATATATATATATAATCGATATATAATCAATATATATATATATATTGATTCCTGTCTGGTGAAGCTGCCTCTGTGGGATTTATAGGGTCTCCTGTCTCAGAGGGATTTCTCAGGGGGCTCCATTTTCTCAGCCTCCCACAGATGTGCATGCCAAAATCCTTATGTGGCAAAATCATCCCAGTCTGACCCTGAGAGCAAAGCATGTATGAGAATGTGTGAGACCGTGTGTATGTTGTGAGTATATGTGCCAGTGTGTGTGAGAAAGTGCATGTATGTGAGAAAGTTTATGTGTGTATGAGAGTAAAGTGTATGAGTGTTATGTGCAAGTGTATGTCTAGGGATGTGAGGGTGAATGTGTAAGTGTAAGAGTATATATATGTGAGTGTGTGAGCAGCATGTGAGTGTGAGAAAGTGCATGAATTGTGTGAATGTGAGAGTTCATGAGTGTAGAAGAGAGTGTGTAAGTTTGTATGTCAATGTGTGTCTGTGTGAGAAAGTATGTACATGTGTGAATGTGTGTAAGTTTATGAGTGTGAGTACATGTATGTACGAGTTTGCGTGAGTGTGCAGTTGTGTGAGGTTGTGTGTATGAGTGTATGTATATTGAGTATATAAGTGTATGAGTACATGTGTGTGTGTGGGGCATGTGAGTAAGCTTCTGTGTGAGTTTGTGTGAGTCTGTGTGTGTCTGTGTGAGTGTTGTGAGCCTGAGTGTATGTGAGTCTGTTTGAGTTTGTGTGTGTGAGTGGTGTGTGTGTGTGTGTGTGTGTGTGTGTGTGTGTGTGCGCGTGTGCCCCCTACAGTGGAAAGATGTCACGTCGAGGCTTGAGTTTGGAGCTGCTGACATGGGCTAACTCCTCCCATGACTCTGAATAGCAAGAATGAATCTATTCCAGCTGGAAAGTGAACGTGTAGATGAATACAAGCGTTGTTTCATGTTGGGCGTGTTTTCCGTTTTATTTAGAAGTCTGGTGATGTTTCGGGGACTAGAAATATGCTGTGGGAGCTTTATTCTTGACCGCCTTTGGTCTGTGGTAGAACTGGTTTCTTTATGTGCTGTTTTAAGTTACTATTCACAAGAACCTATTGGTGACACTGAGGACTTTCTGTGTCCCTGTGTCCCAGTTCTCGGAGGGGCTGTGGTCGCGGCTGGAGATTGCCCTGTCACTCGGGCCCTTCTGGGTCACTCGGGCTCCGGGGACCCGCCTCGGGGTCTTTCTCCTCCACCTGCCTCTGACCCAGAGCCCTGAGGCCCCTCACCCCAGCAGTGGGGAGAGAACCTCTAACTCCAGACTAACCCTGCCATCTTGGGGGTCTCCTTCACCTCTCTTTCCAGTTTCCCAGTGGGGATCCTGCGTGCTTCCCCTCTGAGGTCCAGGCTGCAGACTCTAGCGGGGGTCAGCAGCTGTTCGCAGTACCCTGCTGCCATCCACCTTCCCCTCCGATGCTGTAGTTCCCCTCCTGACCCGATGGCAGATCGGGAGCTGCTGCACCTGTCACTGGAGCCAACTCTGTGTGACCTGGTGGGAGGACGGCCCCTTCCCTGCTGGCCCCTGTTTCCTCAGCTGACCAGGCAGCAGCCACACACCTGAAGCTATTGCTGCCTGGCAGCCCCAACCCCAACCCCAGGAGGCCTCCCTGGGGTGCAGCAGTGCTGTCTCTGGGCCTTGCCCTCTCCGTCCTCAGCGGGGCCCTTGGGGTCTGCGGCTGCCAGCATTCCTTCCTGGACCTGGAACTCATTATCTCCCACCGGGACCCATAGGCCCGTGGCAACAACCTGGCTCTCTGCCCAGCTGTACCCGGCTGTGCCCAGGGCACGTGAGGCCCAGGAGGAGACTGAGGCCTGGTGTGGTGTCCTGGAGACCAGGGGGCTGGGTGGCTGGAGGGGAAAGCCTTGGAGCCCGGGAAGGACCCCTGCCCCAAGTCTGTGGGGTGCAGCTGTGGGATAAAGTGGGGGCTGTGCACCCGGGGTGACGTGCCGTGGCTCAGGGACCCCCTCCCTGACAAGGTACCGCTCCCCTCAGGAGTGCATCATCGACGAGGACTGCGGCCCCGCCCGCTACTGCCAGTTTGCCAGCTTCGAGGCCACATGCCAGCCATGTCGGGAGCAGGAGGTGGTGAGTGGCCCTGCCCAGCTCTCACTGGGCTTTCTGGAAGCATCTTTGCCCCCCCCCATCCCTGTTTACATTTAGGGCCCCTTGAATACTCCCCTTACTGCAGGGGAACAGGGAGTCAACCCAGAGGCCACCTGCAGCCCCACCACTCACCCCTGTTCTGGTGCCCACAGAGCCGGGAGACAGGGATGAGTCCCGCAGAGATGACACACAGAGCGGCCCCCAGCCCTTGGGGACACAGCAGCCATGTCCTCCGCCATCTGCTCACCTGTCCCCATGGTCAGGGTGGAAGGAGGACTGGGCACCTCTCCAGGGGGTTCCCACCAAGAAGTGCAAAGCCCAGGAGAGAAGACAACCCCCTGCCCAGTAGTACTTCAGATAAGGTCACGCAGCTCACAGATACCCTTGTCTCTCGAGTGAAGTCACAAGCCCAGCTGTGTTGGGAGGGCTCGGGGCTTGTCACCACTACCATGGCCCCCAGGTGGGGAGCGGCCATCCCTGACCCTCCTGCCTGCTGCCAGCCAGGGGGACCCCACACGCTCCCAAGCCACCCTTCCCATGCGTGGCTGCAGGCTCCCAGTCCCCATGGGCCCCCCAGCTGTGGGGTCAGAGTTCCCCCCTGTAGGGCTGTAGGGCCCTGGGGTGCTGGGGAGCACCTCCCCACCCCTGGGTGGCACCTTCTGCTGGCTGCTGGAGGAAGCACGCACCCAGACAGTGCTGAGGGAGACACTGAGTGCTTTTTTCTACTTTTTTGTCTAAAGGGCCCAAACTTTTGTTTGGGAACCTGAGATTTAGAGTCTGGGAGCACCTCTGGTGGTGCAGACACCCTCCTGCCCGCCTAGGGGCCTAACGGACAGAGGCAAGATGTCAGCCAAGGGCAAACGGGAAGAGAGGCCGCCATCCCCGTAGCAGACGCCACCTCCCGCCCTGTCTCTTTACCTGGTGTCCCTCCCACCCATTGTTGTGCCCAAGTTTCCGATCCCCAATCACAGAGAGACCCAGTTCCACACACGATAATGCAAGAGCAAAGGAACTTTATGACTAGCCCGAGCCAGCACTAGCCCGAGCCAGGGTTCAAGTCTCATCCAACACAGGGGAGTCTTGACAAGGACCCTGACTCCAAATCACAAGCAGCTTATATAGGGTTCAGAATTAAAAGCAATTTATATACTGATCTAATTTCAGCATTGGCTCTATTACAATGGTGGTCAGCAATTAGGCAATGGTTAGCAACAGTTTCTAAGGAGGGTGCAGTGACCCTTCATGACCGGCCAGACCCAACTGCCCAATTCCTTATCTTGGCAAATTACTCAACTGGGAGTTGACCAGCAACTGCAAGTCCTGCTTTCGGGAAACAGAAACTGAGGCAGAGCTGAGACTTAATGTTAGCTGCAGCTTGTCATGGCATCAGTTTTGCCCTCACACCATCAGCCCAGCACCTGAACGCCCACTCACAGCCCCTCCTCCTGCCTGAGTTTCTCCACCCCCCCCACCCCTTCACACTTCCCCTGCCGAATTCTCAACCGCATCGCCCCCACCCCGCTGCTGCAGCCTTGTACCCGGGACACTGAGTGCTGCGGGGACCAGCTGTGCGTCTGGGGACACTGCTCCAGAGTGGCCTCCAAAGGGGGCAACGGGACCATCTGTGACAACCAGAGGGACTGTCAGCCTGGGCTGTGCTGCGCCTTCCAGAAAGGTGAGGGAAGCCTCAGGGCAGGACCAGCTCTGCCCCCAGCCCCACTGCAGGCCTCCCGGGGCACCGCCCACCTGGGCCAACCCTGCCAGGGGCCTGCCCGGCCTGGTCTCGGTCTTGGTCTCTGTCCTTCTCCCTCTCTCTCCCCCCACCCCAACAGAGATGTTTCGGAAAGTCACACTCCTTCAGGACAGCGGGTCTCAGATGGGAGGACACTCCTAGACGGGGTGGAGGCGGGGAGCTGGTCCTCTCTGCCCGCGCCCCCATGCCCACACCCCAGGCCTCTCCCCGTGACTTCCTGCTCTCCCAGCTCAGTCCTCTCCTCTCCGTGCTCCCCCTGAGGCCAGTGCCTGCGCTCTCCCTTCCCATTTGCATTTCTGGAAAGACAAAATAGAAAAGCTCCTGCTGCGCTGCCTCCCACACTCATCCCCCCACTCTGCCTCAAGAATAGCTCTCGGGGACGCTCCCCCGAACTGCAGCACTTCCTGTCCTGTCCTGTCCTTGTCAGCCCTCAGTTGGCCTGACCAGGCCTTGACCAGCTCCAACTCATCTTTCTTTTTTCTTTCCTTGGCTGTTGAGGGCATTCCCTGCCCCCTTCCCCCTTTCCTGCTGAGCTCAACTCGAGGGTCTCTTAGTATCATACGCCCGACTTGAACATCCCTTTCCCACTTTCAGTTGGTTTATGCCTTTGACCTCAAAATCCAGCACAAGTCCGCCTCTTCCAGGAACTACTCCCTGACTGCTCCATCCTTCCTGGCTCCTTTTCTCCTGCAGGAGTCATGGTGCCTTTTTGTGTTTCCTTTCATCCAGCCTCCTCTCTTGGGTAAAGGGTGGAAGGTGGCAGGAAGGGCATCTTTTTCCTGCTCCCTCCCCTTGCGCCTGCTGAATACACTGGCATGATGCTTGGCCTCTGGTCCCAGGTCTGCTCTTCCCGGTGTGCACACCATTGCCCGTGGAGGGGGAACTGTGCCACGATCCTTCCAGCCGGCTTCTGGACCTCATCACCTGGGAGCTGGAGCCCGAAGGCGCCTTGGATCGGTGCCCATGTGCCAGTGGCCTTCTCTGCCAGCCACACAGGTGAGGTGCCTCCCATGGGGCCTGGAGAGGAAGTGGGAACCACGGAGTTGCTGAAAGAGGCTTCACTGGCCTGATTGAGCTCATCCCAGTTTCTTCTCACATTTCCTCTATATTTCTTTCTTTACTTCTTTCTCTCTCTCTTTCATTTTCTTTCTTTCTCCTCCCTTCTTTCTTATTTATCTCTTCCTTTCTCTCTTTCTTGCTTGCTTATTTTATCTCCAATATTTCTGTCTTCCTTCACTCTTTCCTTTCATTCTTTCTTTCTTATTTGCACAATGCTTACTCCTTCCTTTCTAAATTTTTTTTAAATTTTTTTCTTACTTTTCTGTCTAGTTCTGCCTTCATTTTCTTTTCTTCCTGTTTATTTCATTATCTTTTCCTTTCCCTCTCTGTTTATTTATCTTTCCCTCCCTCCCTCCCTCCCTTCTCTTTCTTTCTTTCTTTCTTTCTTTCTTTCTTTCTTTCTTTCTTTCTTTCTTTCTTCTTTTTCATCCTTCCTAATATCTATCAGTTCTAATTGTCACTGAGACAGTTGTCCCTGAGAGGGGGATGAGCTGGTGCATGTATGTCTGGGAGAGGCCAGGGAGGGAGCCCAACCCCGTCACAAGGAGGGGGCTGGGCTGAACGAGACTGTAGAGGTAAGTGAGATGACCATCAGAATGGTGAGAGGGGAGCCGGGAGCATGGAGGAAAGTTGAGGCAGTGGCGTCAGGCTGACAGGAGAGTAGCCTCAGGCTGTGGCTCTGTCTGTCATGTTCTCTGTTCCCGTCACACACAGAACCCTGTGGTTGGGCACGTAGAAGTCTCCCTCCTGGCTCCAACACACAGGGCTCCCCCAGATTCTGCTGATGAATGGTTAACCCTACCCCCTCACCCCCTCACCAAGTCGCTTGGGGGCCGGGAGTAGCCCTAAGTCACTGTAAACCCAGTCCTGGGTTCTCAGGGCCCATGGGTGCCTCCCTCACAGTGAGGAGGACCCACCTCACAGGGAGGTGTGTGAGGGCACTCTCAAGTCTAGTCCCCCAAAATGACCTCAGCTTCTCTGGGCATCCCACACCTGGCTGGTGCTCAGGAGTGACCCTTGCCGGTGCTGAGTGACCATATGTGACCATATGTGAAGTCTGCGATTAAAACTAGGGCCAGCTGGGGCTGGAGCGATAGCACAGCAGGTAGGGCATTTGCCTTACACACAGCTGACCCAGGTTCGATTCCTAGCATCGATGGATCCATGGTCCTCCAAGCACTGCCAGGAGTAATTCCTGAGTACAGAGACAGGAGTAACACCTGAGCATCGCTGGCTGTGACCCCCAAAAGGGCAAAAATAAATAAATAAATAAAATAATAATTTAAAAAAACAACAAAAAATTAGGGCCAGCCATAAGCGAGGCATGTGGCTTCCCCCTGGACTGCCTCTCCAGACCCTAGTACGTTCCTCAAAGAGAAGTTGCTGACATGAAGTTAACTCAGTTGAGGACCAGAGAGATAGTACAGGGGGTAAGGCACTTACCTGCCATGCATGCTGCCAACATGGGCCTGATCCCAGCACTGCATGATCACCCAGCACCCACAGGAGTGGTCCCTGAGCACAGAGCAAGCCAGGAGTAGCCCCTGAGCATCACTAGGAATGGCCCAATGGCCCCCACCCCCAATAAAGACTATTGAGATGCTCGAGGAGGACGTGACCATGAGACCACCGTCAGCAGGAGGCCAGTGCCCTCCTCTTACCCCGCCCCCATCTCTCCCCAGCCACAGCCTGGTGTACGTGTGCCAGCCGACTTTTGTTGGCAGCCAGGACGAAGATGGCGACAGCCTGGTGTCCCGAGAGGCCCTGGAGGAGTACAACAGGGACGACTTCTTGGAGGAGGTGCAGCAGGAGCTGGAGAGCCTGGAAAGGAGCTTGTCCTTGGAAACGCCACAGGGCGAGGAGCCGGGGGCTGCCTCTGTGCCGCCCGGCAGGGAGGCTTAGGGCTGGGGCAGTGGAAGGAGCTAATTTATTTCCCCAGCTGTGCCCTCTCGTGTGGGTTTTCCGCTACGGTCGCTCCCCAGCACGTTTCCCATTCTGGCTTGAAGCAAACAGCACTGCACCCCTGTCACAGTGCTGGTGTCGGGGGCTGAAGCAATAGCACACCGGGTAGGGCGTTAGCTTCGCACGCTGCCGACTGGGGTTCGATTCCCAGCATCCCATATGGTCTCCTGAGCACTGCCAGGGGTAATTCCTGAGTGCAGAGGCAGGAGTAACCCTGTGCATCGCCGGGTGTGACCCAAAAAGCAAAACAAAACAAAACAAAAAACAACCCCCCCTCCCCCCCCCCGCCACACACACAGTGCTGGTGTAGGAAGGAACACACAGTGCTGGTGTAGGAAGGAGACACCAAGCCGGAAAGTCCAGCCAGTCTGGAGCTCCGGCTGCCTCCACTGCTTGGCACGTTTCATTCTGTTCAGCATCACCTTGAGAATTGTTGGGGAGGGGATAGAAAAATACACAGAACTCCACCACTCCCACCCCACCCCACCCCACCCCACTCCTGCTCTTCTCCCCACACATGCTGAGGGGCTCTGGGGAAGTGCTGATTCTCCTGCACAGGAACAGGGTCCTGCTTCACAAGCACGAGTCCCGAAGAAATACAGCCTGTGGCGTTCCCAGGCAGCTCTTCTCGGGGGTCCCGGCCAGCTGTGCCTTCAGCCGCTGCAGTGCTGCCCCCTGGTCCCACTGTGCTTCGTGTCTGCCCTCCTCCTCCCCTTGGTGGTGTCTCTCTGCTCCTACCTCCATGCCAGCGCAGCTGCTGCACAGCCAGGACCACTCGGGGCCCTGGCCTGGTGAGGGGGTCTGGGTCTCCCCAAGGGCTGGCTCGTAGCTGCCTGCCCCCATTTTACGCAAGATACTGAAGTCAGGGCATGATGACATCCAGGGAGACCTCTGAGCCCCCATCCTCCGAACCCCACCTCCCAGCACTCTTGCTGCTCCCATAAACACCCTCTTTCAGAAGGAAGAATGGGTTTTTTCTTTTTTCTTTGAGGCACATCTGGAATTTCTTGCACTCCTCTAAGATTAAAATTCTGCTCTTAGAAATGGCAGCACATGCTCCAGTGTGGTGTTGATGGAGATAGGCGGTGTTAACTCTGTCCCCGAGGGCAGTTAGTTACACTGGGGGTGAAGGGGACGGGTGGTTAGTCACACCTGGGTCTTGGAAGGACCCTGGTTGGAGCATAGTATGCTACCTTACCAGAAACAGCACTTAAAATTGCTGTTGGCCAGGATTTTCAAAATACCCTATCAGCAACTGTAGACTATTATCCACTGGGAGCAAGTGAAGCCACGCAAGATCAGTGGATTGTGACTGTAATATTCAAACAGGGCACTGGGTCTGTGCTCTTCCATAAATAATAGTCTTAGTTACCCCGGGCTGTTTCCATCTTGCATTTCTCCAGAGTTACTTAATTGTGAAGTTGCACATGATTGTATAAGCATGCTTTGAGTTTTCAATTGTGTATAAATACATGTTGCATTTAGAAATCAAGCATAAATCACTTAAACTACTCTGGTAACTTTTGGACTTTCCCCCCCCTCTTTTTATGTTGAATAAATATAAAAACCCTTTAGCCAAACAAAATAGAATAAGCTGCATTGTCAAAAAAAGAAAAAAAAAATCTTAGCTATAAGTAAATTTGTCAGACAACTGAAATACATTTCTTTGGGCATCAAACTATTCTAGAAATATCCGTATTTATTCATTTATTTTTAAGGGTTAGTTTCCTTTGGTTTGTATTTTATTAATTTATTGGGGGTCTCGAGAGTGTGTCACACCTGGTGGTGCTCAGGAACGGCTACCAGCTCTATACTCAGGAGTGACCCCTAGAGGTGCTCAGGGGACCATATGTGGTGCCGGGAATTTGAGCTGGTTGCAGTTATCAGTCACAAGCAAGACAACTGTACTATGTCATTGGTCCCAATTTAGTATCTTAGATACATGTTAGTCTTTAAGGTATCATGATCTACCATCTCTTGAGTTAGAAAGCAATATAGCAGCCCACTTTGGGTCATTCTTATTTAATTAAACCCATTCCTGAGACTTAACACAATGATCAAGAGACTACAATCATTGTCATAGGACAACAGATTGGTAAGCACCGAGCAGTCTTCCCACATGAACTCATTGAATCTTTAAATATTTTGAGTGTTTACAATTAACTAAAACTCCACTTAGCAGATAAAGAAGTGGAGGCTCTAAAAGATGAAGTAATGGAACTAGGCATCAACCAAAATCTAGTATAGAGTTCCCAGTATATATTGAGAATTTTAAGATCAAATATGAGACCTGTTATGTATTTGTGTCAAATGATCAGAATGATCCTTATGATACAATCAATCTGTTCTGAGAGCCAGCTTGGAACCAGAGGCCACTATAGACTCCACAGGGCCCAGCTGGTCAAGGGAGGGAACCTATCTGAAAGGCCTAACAAAAGAAGACCCACTAAGCAAGTGTGACCAATGAAAACATCACCAGCCTGTATCAGAACTGAGGCCTGGGACTCTGCAAGGCTTGTCATGCTTGAGAGCTGCAGAGAAGCTGGCTCTTATAGAGGATGGTTCATCAAGATAAGGGAAGGTCAGAGGGAGGGATGAGCCATAGACTGAGGGGGGAATACTGGACGGACACCACAAGGGAACTACAAGTAATTCACCATGGCTGGAAGGCCAGAGAAATTAGAACATGCGTTTGGATAAGAGGCTGTTAATTATGATGCAGTTTTAACCACCTGGTATGGCCCGGGATGCCTCAAAAGCATCAGCCAGGTGGCCTTGGGTCGAAAATCCCTGCTGGGACCTCTGGTACTCTGAGCACTCATGGGGAGCCCATCTTGGAATGGAAAATACATATAAAAATACAGCTTTAGTTATCTCAGCCCACCTACTTTCCTGCCCTCGTGTAGACCTCTGTGAAAAGCAAGATTAGCAAATAAAATGCTTGGGCATCGGTCATTCCGCAGTGTCCTGCACAGATGAGGAAGGCTGGCCTGTTCACCCAGCTGGCCTCAGAGGAAGAGTGAGCATTACAGGAAACAAATGGTTGTTTCCAAACAGGGAGAATTCTCAAAGGGCTGGGGTGGAGTACATGCAAAGTATGCAGGACAACCAGTACAGTGTGGTCCCCAGAACTGAACCTGGAGTAGCCCTCTGAGCAGCCATCAAAACAGAAGTTGCTGACTTTTCAGCTTCTCTTCCTGTCCAACCCCTTTCCCCTCTTCCAAGCTTGTTTTTCTAGTCTTTGGATTTTTATTTTTTGGGGGGCGGGGGTAGGGGCACACCCAATGATGCTCAAATGCTACTCTTAACTCTGTGCTCAGGAAGTACTCCTGACTGGTGCCCAGGAGACCAAATGGGATGCTGGAGATTGAACCTGGGTCAGTCATGTGCAAGGAAGGTGTGATACATGCTGTACTACCATTTCAACCCCTGGTCTGTTTTTTTTTTTTTTTAAAAGACATACTGGGCAGAAGGATGAGAGTTGGGAGAAATAAGGGTCTAATGCAGTGTAAGAGTGAGATGAAGGGGGCATTAAATATTCCTATCACGGCTCTACCTTTGGGCTGGAGCGATAGCCCAGCGGGTAGGGTGTTTGCTTTGCATGAGGCCGACCCAGGTTCGATTCCTCTGCCCCTCTCAGAGAGCCTGGCAAGCTGCCGAGAGTATCTCGCCCACATGACAAAGCCTGGCAAGCTACCTGTGATGTATTCGATATGCCAAACACTGTAACAAGTCTCACAATGGAGATGTTACTGGGCCGCTCGAGCAAATCAATGAACAATGGGAGGACAGTGCTACAGTGCTCTACCTTTCCCAGAAAATACAGCTAGGATATTGTGACTACTTGTTTGCTTTTGGTTTGGGGGTTACAACTAGTGGTGCTCAGGGACCACTCCTGGCAGGGCTCTTATCATTTGTGGTGCTAGGGATCAAACCTGGGTTGACTTTGGGCAAGACAAGGGCCCTCCTGTTGTACTGTATCTCTGGCCCTATTGCGATTACCCTTGACAGCCATCAAGACTACTGCCAACTGGAAACAAGATTTGAGAATGCAAAGTTTAGAAAATAGCTTATTCTCCTAACTTCCCACTGGGAAGGGACAATAAAACTTACTCCTTTGGCCAAAATCTTTGTGTGCTTGTGTGGTGGTGCTGGTGGGCATCACTGGAAAAATCACATTTCTGGGTATCTCACTGAACTATTACTCTTTAAATAAAGGGCCAAACACCAAAAGTGCCCTCTGTACTGGGGGAAGGGTCATGTTGGGAGCAAAGGAAGAAGGGGTTAATTACAGGGTCCACATCATGAACTCTCAGGTAGGTTCTGACCAGACAGAAGATAAGCTTCTGCACAAATTAACTGGTATTGGAATATGTCATAGAAAGCTGAGCATCCCTCACAGACATTTTTATGTACCCCCGTTCCCCTGTCTCACCTACCACCAAGCGTGGCTCTGCTACATTCATTTCTAAAGTCATATATGCTTGCACACTGGACATTAACCAAGAATTGTTTCTAAAACAACCTGAGAACCAGGTTTCAAAAAGGAACACTCACTAACCAATAACCACTGACATCCACTGCTCCTGCCCCACCATGAACTTCCACAAAGGTGCAGCTTCTGATTCCATGTACACTAAAGCCTGCTTAGGAGTTTGCTTTGGGCCACACTTTTGCAAACGTGATTTGTAAGGTACATTCACTGAGGTTGGAGCAATAGTATGGCCAGCAGGATGCTTGCTTTGTATGTGGCTGACTGGGGTTCAATCCTGGGCATCACCACCTTTGGTCCCCTGAGCCCATCAAGAATGATTCCTGAGCAGAGTCAGGAGTAAATCCTGACTACACCACTGGGTGTAGCCCCCAAATTAAAAAAATATATATATTTACTAGTCACCTAGAAAACTACATACATTTAATATTTGAAAGGCTCTTCACTGCTAGTAAGCAGTCTTGCAAATTTTCAAAATTGATACAGAACTGATGCAGTTTCTCTCAGCAAAATCTTTCTAGTTCTGAT